ATTGTATACAATTGCTCAAATAAAGGTGGTACCGTTTTAAAAGTACCATCTGCATACCAGTTTTTTTAGTTTGAAAGTAAACGTAGGTTATTCATGGTTGAAAATATTAAAATTCTGTCATTCACCGGCCCAGAATCAAACAGTAAAAAGTCTTCACCATTCTCTGTAGAAATATATTCGCCAAGGAATCTAATGTCCCTCCTGTGAGTAAGAATAGCTGGACCCCGAGTGTCTTTCATTCTATGATTTTTTATGTTTCTTTTCATAGCTTCAACTGAAGGTAGTTGACCTTTCGTTGCTGCTGTTAGATTTAATTAAGCATGAGATAAAATATATTGCGGAGAGTTGCATGTGGTTATAGCATCTCTTTTAATCTGGTTCATAACTACATTAACTTCAACCTTGGAGCTATCGGATGCATGGCTGTGCTCGTCGCTTTGTTTGGTAATAATAGTGTTGTTAACAGTTACCACTCGACATGGGTATGAACTTTTTTGAAGTTTTCGCACTTCCAATAGATTTTATCGTTACGCTGCTTTTTCGTTAAGGTAGATGTAGCCATCAACTACAAGTTTTATTTTATTTTTTGTGCTTGTAACAAAGTTATCCCTCTGACAGGGATGCCATTTTGATTACTTGTCATTTAAGGACTACCCATCGGTTTGATGCCACTAATTACCGAACAAAATTAGAACTTTTGTTGTTAGAAATCAGTGTTGTCCCGCGTCACACATTTAAATAAGGTTATCCGATTTTCTAATAATTTTTATAAAAACGTTACTAAGATTGAGATGGAAAAACTGTTCAATAGAATACATTTAAAAAAAAAAAACAACGTTTTAGTGGTGGTATTTAAATGTTAACTTAATACGTTAATTTCTCAATGATTAAATAGCTACTGTTTCGTATTTTTCTGTTTGAAAACAAAATTCCTTTCGTACACACATCATTTCGAACACAGGAAAAGATCTCCATAATTCTCACTCGCAAGTCTTAAACATAAAATTTATTTACAAGAACACTAAAAAGAAGAATCAAACAAAATTTAGCTCGAACAAACTAACATTGGAACAAAGTACATTTATCCACATTTCTCCCTGGCACCTCTTAGATTTAAGAAAACAATCCACTCGATCAAAGTTCAGTTCGACCAAATTTTCGTTCGATCAAAGTTCCGTTCGATCAAATTTCTGTTTGACCAAACTTCCGTTCAATCCATAATCCGTTCGATCAAATTTCCGTTTGGACAAACTTCCTGTCGATCAAATGTCCGTTCGGTCAAACTTCCGTTCGACCAAATATCCGTTCGACCAAACTTTCTGTTGATCAAATTTCCGTTCGGTCAAACTTCCTGTCGATCAAATTTCCGTTACACTAAACTTCCGGTCGATCAAATTTCCGTTCGATCAAACTTCCGTCGATCAGTTTACCGTAGACGAAATTTCTTTCGACGAAATTTCCGGATACGGGCCAATGTACCTGTTGAATTGACATGTCTAAAGTGCATAACTGTTCATTCAAACAATCCTTCGTCTGTTGCAAATGCAGTGTAGGGCATAGGTTCTTCTTGCATCCCTATCTGCCGAAATCCTCTGTTGAGATCCACTTGTGTGAATATTGTAGAAGAACCTATTTCTTCTAATATTGTTCTCATTTAGATGTCTCATTGGTTCTGCATTTAACTTGCTTGATTTTTTTGAGTTCTCTATAATAAAAAAAAAATTTACTTGGCCATTTTTATTTATTTACCAATACCATGGTTGCAGCTAATGAAGAGTTTGATATTTTGATTGCATTTGTGTTCAAAAGATGGTTCAGTTCTTTCTTTACTTCCTCTCTATAAACATATGGTATATAAGTTGTTTGTCTTTGAATGTATGATTCCGATATTAATGCAATCTTATGCATTAAAATGTTTGTATGCCCAATGTTTTCAGTCACAACATCCTTGAATTCTCTAATGAATTATGTCAACTGTTTGTTGCAGTTCCTGATGTTGTAATCATTTTCATCCTTTAATGGTATTACAATAGCAATAATATCGTTACCAGCAGGTTCCATTTGAGAGATATCTTTTGTAATATTGCTTAGACTGTCTGGACAAGTTGTAAATGGTCCCAGCCAAACCTTCTCTTCTATTGTGTTTGGCAACCAAACACAAACATAAAACTTATCTTTTACTTATAAATTACAATTTACAAGTATCTATGCATGGGCGACCGCAGAAAACTTTCTAGGGGGTGGGAATCGATTAACTTTCCAGGGGGGGGGGAATTTTTAGTAATGTTTTAATGTAGTTTTAATTTAAAGTAGCGTATTTATATGGTGAACGAACGGACAGGACATCAGCTTAGTTACTTTATCTTTATTTTCTCTTTACTTTAATAAATTTTGTGTCTATTTTTGTCTAATTTTTTTTTTATCCAATCAAATTTNNNGGGGGGGGGTGGGGGAGGGAAGAGCCCCAACTTGCCCCTACCTGTTGGCGCCCATGTATCTATGTATATTATTTATGCTTCCTTGTCGCATAGCTTTTCTTTTTTGTACTTTCTAAGGATTTGTGTAATCCATCTGCCGTTTTCTCCCTCGATGTGTTCTTATATCAAAAGAATCTCCAGACGGTATTATTTTGCTTAAAATCTCTTCCTTGAAAAATGTTAATGGGCCTCTTGGATTTGCACCAAACATGAACGCAAATGGTGAAAAGGCGGTTGTTGATTCTTATATGCTGTCTTTGCATGGGCGCCCGCAGAAAACTTTCTAGGGGGGGGGGCAAAAAAAATTGATTAACTTTCCGGGGGTGGGGGGAAAAAAATTTTAGTAATGTTTTAATATAGTTTTAAATTACTGTAGCGTATTTGTATGGTGAACGAACGGACAGGACATCAGCTTAGTTACTTTCTCTTTATTTTCTATTTACTTTAATAAATTTTGTGTCTATTTTTGTCTAAAAATTTTTTATCCAATCAATCCAGGGGGGTGGGGAAAGGGCCCCACCTTGCCACTACCTGCGGGCGCCCATGTGTCTTTGTGTGTAAAGTACCATGGGAATGTATTGAAGCCAATCTCTCTGATGTTCTTCCGTTGTCTTAGAAAGCATACTTTTTTTAAAGTTGTGTTCCGCCCTTTGCACATGCCATTGCCTTATGGTCTGGACATTGTTTAGTGTATCTGAGTAATCCCTGTAGTTTGGTGACATCATTGGACAAGTTTGAGGTAAATTGATTTCTATTGTCATATAACATCTTGTTTAAAAACCATTTTTAGTAAAATAGACAATAGTGCCATACAAAAATTGTCTGAATCAAAGTTTTTGAAATAGTACTGCGTTGTGTAGTCACCGGGCTAACAGTGACCAATATTGAACCGTACAGAAAAAAAACAACAACACATAATTCCTAATAAAATATTAGTCAATGTATGTTGAATAAAATCATTATTCATGTTAAATATTGAATTGCTTTTTTACTTATTTTATTACAATGTGTGCATTGTGCATAGGAATAATTGATATTTTATTCCAAGTTTGCTACAAACTCTATCATTGTCTGAGGGACAATGAGCCGGCCTCCTAAAAATAATGTTTGAGGACCTCTCCTTCTAAATAAATTGTATGGCTATTCTAAAGCCATCTCTCTTTACTCCTTAGCAATAAAAGGCAATAAAACCTAACACCACAATTCCACCACCCACACCGTGTTTTTGACAACAAAGGCTCCAAATGGTTCAATTTAATTTGATTTAATTTGCTATGCACCGTGGAGTCTCCAGTAAAAAAAACAACTTAACAAGCCGACTAAGTTTTGGTCTTGCCCCCCAAGCCCCGCTCCCCGCCTTGAAAAAACAGGAAACGACGCCCCTGCCGACGTATTGTAATAACACGTCGGAGCGAAATATCAAGTTTCAGCAGCTCTACCAAGATGGTGTTAACACTAATTGAATTTTCTAAGAGTTAAGACTAGTTGAATATTATAAGTGTTAACACTAGTTGAATATTGTAAGTGTTAACACTAGTTGAATGGTCTAAGTGTCAACAGTAGTTGAATTTTCTAAGTGTTAACACTAGTTGGATTTTCCAAGAGTTAACACTAGCTGCATATTCTAAGAGTTAACACTAGTTGAATATTCTAAGAGTTAACACTAGTTGAATATTCTAAGAGTTAACACTAGTTGAATATTCCAAGAGTTAACACTAGTTGAATATTCTAAGTAAGCAGACGAGTGTGCCGTTACCATGACACGCATAACAAGCAGTGAGATAAAACGACACGAAGTTGTGTAGTGTTTAAGTCGCAACCTCAACTTCAACACTTTTGGGGATAGCCGGCGGGCAGTGAAGGCAACTCACAGCCACCCTTCAGTTTAAAAATTTTCAGCAAAAATAACGGCAAAAATAACGGCAAAAATAACTCTTGTTATGAATGCAAAAATTCATCGCTGTCAACTTTGGGTTACTAAACAAAAAAAACAATCTGAAGTTTATTCTTCTGTCAAGCACCTACGGTACATTTTTAATATTGTTTGAAACAAACCGTCAATAATAATTAACTCCAACCTGGGAGTTGTTTTCATTCCAGAGACCAACGAAAGGTTGATTTCAATCGTAGAGCAAGTTATAAATTATCGAGATACCATTATGAGGACCAAGAAGGATTCCGAGACAACCAGCAATTTTCGCAATTTGAACACGGCTGAACTCGAATACATGTAATTAAATTCATCAGCTTTTAATGGTTTTTGCGTATCTCTGCGTGACACATTGACGTTTAAATTACAAATGTACAAAGACGGTACTGTCCTCATTGTCTCTGGGGTATCATCTCTTCGGTAGTTGGAACACTCGACAATCATTTCCTTACATAAAAATACCACTGCGTTCAGTTCCACTTTAAGTAAAAAACCTTTCGTTTTTAGTATTCTCAAAAGAAGACTTAACAGATATGTCTCAAGTAAATGTAAACATCACAAACGACTGGTCTTCTCATGACAAAGCGGACCCCATCAGCGACGAGGCCTTGGAATTTAGTCGCGTGGCTGTTTCCATTCTTTTCTTAGGGTTGGTCAGCCTATTCGGCATCGTGGCCAATGTGTTTGTCATTGCAGTACTGAGAAGACAAGGTAAATACAATTCACTGGAAGAAACCGTTGTTGCATTTGTCAAATTTCAAGTACGGTTCATTATAAAATGAAGTTTTAATATAGTTGTCTGACATTATTGGATATCTTTTCGGCCGTACTTCAACATTCGTAATTAGTCATTGGCATGAAATCGTCAAAAATAATAAGATTAAAAAACACCAAAGGCTGGTCATTTCAAAAGTTCCTTTAGTCCCCAAAGTCTAGTCCTTAAAAAAAAAGAGAAGATAGTTTAGTTCCTAAATGGTTATCCTTTTCAATGACTACTCAGTTATTACTCATTGTCCAGCAGGGGATTATTTACTCTTTTAGAAAATAAATTGAGCAAAGAGGATTAAAGTTTTAAATTAATGTTCTTATATAAATTCCCCCCCACCACCCCCGTTTCTAACACAGGATTTCAAGAGAGCGTCAACATTTCGCTGCTTGGACTGGCCATAGCTGACCTGTGCTGCGTCACCCTGGCCCTCTGGTCGTCGATATGTAACATTTTCCTCATAGGGCAGCCACGTGACTTCTCATTCGAGCCCTACAGCCTGCTGACCATGACCGGGAATTTGCCCAGAGTCATCTTCTCCAGGGTGACGTGCTGGATCACGGCGCTCATCGCCCTGGAGAGGTGCATCTGCGTCACCCTGCCTTTCAGGGTCAAGGTCGTGTTCACGCTGAAAACGACGCTCGCCGCCACGGTGGCCGTGTTCCTGGCCGTCCTCCTCGGCTACTTGTCCATCTTTGAGTCGAGGCACTGGGCGACCAGACTGGACAGGACCTCGAACACCACCAAGTATTACATGGTCTTCTCCACCACCGACTGGACCAGTCACTTGACGTCGCTGTTGTTCCTGGCCCTGCCCATAACAAATATTTTGACCCTCATGATATGCACGCTGATTCTAACAGTGAGTCTAAGCGCGTCATCAAATTGGCGGGAGAGCGCCCGCAGTTCTAAAATAAAACGCGAAAAGAGGGCTATAAATCCCACGAAGGAGATGAGGGTATCAAAAATGGTATTGATCCTTACTCTTATTTTCATCGCTTGTAACTTACCGAGCAACATGCTCATAGCCACTCGAACCATTGTTCCAGAATTCCAGGAAATCGGGAAACTCCAAAAACTATTTCGAGTCACGCACACCTTCGCCTTTCTACTGGAGACGACCAGCTCTTCGATAAATGTCTTTGTTTATTATAGAATGGGGTCAAAGTTCAAGCTGGAGTTCTTAAAAATGATCACTTGTGTCAAGACACGTTGAGAAAATAAAATAAAATGAATATATTTAAAAAAAAAGAACTAACACATTCTCTTTGGTTTAATGAGTTGAAATTAATACCTTAACCAGCTACAAAAAAAAAACAAAATAAAAACTACAAACCCCACAACAACGGGAACAAACAAACAACCTACGAACCCTGTCCCAGCTCACTTCCATGTGACAAATGACCATTGTTCTAATAACATGGCGATTTAGGGTGAGACAAGACAGGATTATAGTTGTATTCTTTGTATGACATGATCTGCAACGCACGTATTGTTTTACTAATGAGTGAAACAATTCTCTCTGATACTACACGTTGGCTAAGCGTTATATTCTGTTTTTACTGTTGTTTGTTCACCGACGAAGGCTTCTTGCCGACACGTTCGTTGTTTTGTTGCTTTCCTTTTTTCAAAGTTTTCCCATACTTTGTTTCACTCATTTCCTTCAGTTTTTGCTGACCTGGTTGCAGCATGTCCCCTTTATTACCATCCTGTTTACTGGTATATCAATCATTGGTTTGTTGATGTCACGCTCCTTGTTGGGAACACACATGACATCCTTGACGGTAGACGTCCTATGAAATGTGTGTCCTTTGTCTTTACCTTAGTGTGTCTCGATGCCACCCGTATTGTCTGAATGTCCTTGTTGTTTACCTCACGTTATGCCATTCAGTCAATGGGAACGTCTCCCTATCATTTGTCATATCGCCCTGTCGTGTGCATGTCATTCAGTCGGTGTCAGTGTCTCTCTGTCATGTGTCACTTAAGACACGTTAAGTTTCGTTAATGTTGCTTTATGGCATCATAGGTGTTGACTTGCACATAAAATTATGCTTAATATAAATTTTTTTCTGTGAATTTTTACAAGTGACTATATTTTTTTCCTGTGACTTTTCTTTCCCAAGTAAAACATGTGATTTTATCCATGACATTCAAATGTGGCTTTTTTTCTTGCTCACCCAAAGCGCATGTCATCTATGTCATGCTAAATGTCATAAATGCCAAAACGGACATAAAACTCAGTATGGTACAATGTCGTAGACACAGTTCTATTGATCCAGAACCAGAGGTGTAGCGACGGGGGGCAGGGGGGGGACAGATGTCCCCGGGCGCAAGCTAGTTAGGGGCGCAAAAATGTACTTTTATAGTATATTATTGGTAAAAATAATGGGTTTTAGAGTTGAAAAAAAGAAAACGGGGCGCTTTAAAATGGATATTGTCCCCGGGCGCCAAACACACTCGCTACGTCAATGTCCTGAACGCCCAGTTATATTGGTCGAGTACACTCAGATATATTAGTTCAGGGCACTCAAATTAAGTAATAATATGCAGATAATAACATCATGTGTAGAACTTTGAATGGGGCAATTTAACATTTAATAACGAAAACACTTTAAAAAAAAAAATTAAGACACAGATAAATCTGTCATAAATCATAATCTTAATTTTTCTTTTCATCCTGCACAGACATCGACGTACGCTTTACATGTATTACAAAGGGATCTCAATTGGGAAAGACGTGACCCTCCCCCGTTTTATTTCCAACACAATAAAACAAACAGACCCTGAACAAAATACACACACACGAAGAACGACAGCAAGCACACAACCAACCCACTAAGACAAACACACACACAATGCACACAAAGCAAACACGCACTCAACACACACAGAGACACAGAGATGAGTTTGTGGGGGTGTGTTTAACTGTGCTCTTTATGCGCTCTACGTCGCAGGAGATGTCGGGATTTCAATCGTGTCAAAGTGATGGCCCCTACTGGGTTCCATCATGGGTTTGATTTCAGCATTTGCCTGCTGTTAGATGAGTTGCCATCCAAGGTTACCTTGTCCAATGCACCCGGGCTTGCTACATGGGTTTTAATGACCATGTTTGCACGAGTCTCTATGAATTTTATAATAAGCGTGTGATTCTCATTAGTGCAACAGCTAGCTGGAGCGACCTACCAAAAACTTCCAGAGATAACTTATGCACCCCCCCCCTCTTACTCCGATCCCTTAAACTTTTCATTATATTTGATTTACATAATATTTCAAATTTCATGACTTGAACAACAAAAAAAACAAACAAAAAAACTATTATCTGTTTGCGCTCAATGATGAAATTTTTGACCCATTTAAAGGTATGTTTCTCTGACCAGGTGACCACATTTCCAGTTCCACACATTGGCATTTATTTTTCGCATTTTTCAGGTAGCAGTTATAGAATTTGTGATCTGGGGAGAAGGGCTTCTGTAAAGAAGGTCACATAACTATCGCTTCTTTCGTGTTGTGTATGACAGAGACTGATTATATGTTTTGAGTCAGTTAGGACTCTCAGACGTCAACATTGAAATTCAATCGTTTTGTACTCCTGAGTCATGACGATGCGCAGACACACACACACAAAATAAAGAACATTGAATAGTTTTATTGAAATACCCGATACACGTGGTTTCTGAGAGTATGAGAATCACTGTTGCTATGTTTGGTATGAAAAATATGTTTAGTGTAGCGATTGTATATATAGCTATATCTGTTGTGTGAGATATTTGTGAAGTAGTTAGGTAAGTGTAATGACGTGTTACTCTGGTTGTTGTTATGGTGAATTGATGGCCGTTGTAGGTTATTCACAGTTTATCTTGTTGTGTGTTGCCGAGTGATTTGCAGGAACGTCTTGACTATTATTCATAAATTATAGAACATCCATAGTTTAAATTAGTTAGATTGTCAAGGTGAATAAACTTATATCGTGAATTGAACTAATACAGTGTTGTGGTGAATGGTTGTGCTACGGTAGTGAGACTCAATACCTAACAAATAGTAGTCTGACATTAAGATTAGGCGACCATTCGAGATTTAAGATTTTACTTTTCGACAGCGGTATATAAATTATCTATTACAAAATAAATGAATTAGATGTACGTTATTATTTATAAAAAAAATGAGTATGTGTTTTATCATGAAACATAACTGCTGTTTTTTCTCGTGTTTGTTTATAGCAGTCTTATTCTTAATATTAGACATTCAAGCGTTGGTGTCCTTATGTGATGACATAACTACATGAATAATTACGGATAGAATCACGAAAGATTTTAATCACACTTAACCTAATTATGATCTAGTTATAATCTATTACAAGTATCTGCATACACCAGAAGTAGAGCTAGAGTGTTGTGCGCCCGGGGACAAGATTCATTTTTAAAGAGCCCCCCCCCCTTCTTTTTTCAACTTTCAAACCCATGATTTTAATCAATAAAATAATATCAAAGCACATTTTGTCGCCCCTAAATAGTATTGCCCCCAGAGACATCTGTCCCCCTCTGCCTCCATTAGCTACGCCTCCGACGTACACTAAATAATCTAACAATTATTCTGACGACTCAAAGATTCATGGAAAGCTTTGCTGGGGACCAATTTTCGGAACATAAAAAAAAATAAAATAAATGAAGATTAAAAACCATACCTACAATACTATCAGAACAAATTTCCATTTATTTGGAAACAAAAAACAGCATCTAATCTTATCTTATCTTATTTGGTTATTGTGTTTACCTCATGGCACTACAATCGGAGGCGTCACTAGGATTGTTATCGCCCAGTGTGATAAACTAATGGTGTCACCAATGTCAAAACTCTTCAACGCCCACCCCCACTCCCCAACCTTGGACCTCCATCGAGTCAGTATTAACCAAATTATACAGAAACACTAACAGAATTGTTTGTGAACTAGGTCATAGAGCAAGAAAAGACAAGAAGAATACAAAAAAATATGACGTAACAGAATGTCACGGCCGTGCCATGGTAGATCACGCACTCGTCTCTTTTAACGAGTTCCAGTTTTGAAAAAGCTCACACGAGTCAATACAGCTCTTGGTGGTAAACAATTGTAGGCTTGATGAGACGACCGGGAAAGCATCCCAGCACTTCTCTAGGGAAACCCTGCTTTGAAGACAACCTTCTCTACCTGGTGACACCCGTGCCGGTGTCAACCTGTTTTGGTGTCAACCTGTTCTGGTTTCACCCTGCTATGGTGTCAACCTTTTATGGTGGCAACCTGATCTAATTTTACTCCTTTTTTTTTTTTTTGTATAGCACCCTGTTCTTGATGGCACCCAGTTCTGGTGGCGCCGAGTTCTTGCAGTTCTTGTATTTACACCAAATGGTGTCAACCTTTTATGGTGGCAGCCTGATCTAATTTTACTCTTTTTTTTTTTTGTATAGCACCCTGTTCTTGATGGCACCCAGTTCTGGTGGCGCCGAGTTCTTGCAGTTCTTGTATTTACACCAGTTATTGTACTAAACCGATTAGAGCGAAACCTGCCTCGTGTTCAGTTATAATGTCAGCCCTAGTGAGAGTGTCACCAGGTGCGATTACATGCACTTTCTACTGATGTCACTGAACATACTTTTTTGTTTGTTTTTAGAAGTAGATCTTTACTATTCTTCTTATGCTTGATAAGTTAAGACGATTTTTTTCTCACTTTTTTTTTTCTAGCAACTACAACTACACTTTCCAAATTCGTAATCAATATTTAACATAAACAGAATACACTATCGGGAATTTCAAGGATTGAAATATTTTTAAAAGCCGAGTGACTAAAAAAAATATTTGGCATTAGCCGGAAGTCTTCCAATTCTTGTCAAATTCTATGTTTCCATTTCAGTCTTCAACTTCAGGTAAAGGATGTTTTATTTTGTGAAACTCAATTTAGAATCACACACGGAAATTTTAAAGGTTTTCGCCAAGTCTAATATTAGAAATAGACTTTGTTATTATTATATTTAAAGAATTTATTTAATTTAGCTCATCACTGGTGAGATCATTGTGTTCAAGGTAGTAGACAACTTGCACCAATTTTATGATTCTGTTTTTTCTTCTAGATTTACGGTTACATTTTGACTGGGATGATTCCTTACTTGGAAAATGTAGATATTTTTATTTAGACGACCTTTAGATATAATGATACTAGAATATGGTTTGTATACAAACGGGAGATT